GTAGCTTTACTGGCACATGTAAGCGAGGAGCAGTGCGGCAGAGAAACCCAACACAAGCACACACCTCTGAAGCATGACTGGTAAATATGAACCCCAATGACTCAGAATGGTTTTCGATCTCTCTCTCTCTCTCTCTCTCTCTCTCTCTCTCACACACACACACCCACACACACACACAAGCTTCATATCTTTCTCACATCTACTAACGTACCATCCAGATGTGTTTTCCGTGGATGTTTGCAGGCATATCTTCAGGGTGGAGATGTTGTCCGAGCAGTGGGCCAAAGAGGGTCCCTAAAGGAATGACCTCAGTGGTGAAAACACCCAGCACCTTCTGATGACAAAGTATTAGAAAATTAAAAACTATTTGCAAAAAAAAAAAAATTATAATAATAATTGTTTGTGGTTAAGACAGACTGCAGACGATTACTCAGATTTCTTTAAAATAAATTGATACATATTTTGTACCAAATACAATTACATGTCAGTGTCATTTTAGTATCATTGAGATACTATTATAGTTAATTTAATATTTTGAATTAGTTTTTAAAATATTTTTTAGTTTTGATTTGAATTATAGCTAAAGTTTTAGTAATTTAGTTTTATGTTTTTGCCATTTATATAAATATATATATTAAATATTTATGTATAGTTTTTATTAGTTGATATTTCAGTTTTAGTTATTTTATTACATCAAATGTTTTAGTTAACAATAATAAAGACATTTTTAAGTGTCCAAATAGGTTTTTGGGCCACTGTACATGTATGCATGTATGTACCTGATTGTGATATGCAAATCTGAGGTTTCTGGATAATGATGTCTGGGCTCTGGTTTCTTTCCACCCATCAAAGTCTGGCTCATCATCTGTAACAGGATGGTTGTGTCGCACATCCACTTTCTGCTCCTCAGTTTGTATAGTGATGCTCTCGTTTGCTGTGGTTGTGAGTGTTTTTGAAGGCATAATCAAACCGAGTGGAGATTACACCTGTGAACGACAGAAAACCATACACATGATGATCAACGTAAGATAAAACTAGTTTTTCTGTATTTCCTACGCAGTTGTGTTCTGAGTGGTTACTACTTGATTTAAAGGAATAGTTCACCCAAAAATGAAAAAATATCTGAAAAATCACTCTCAAGTCCTCTAAGATGTAGATAGCATTCCACCACTTGCTCAGCAATGAATCCTCTGCAGTGAATGGGTGCCAAAAACACACAGCTTTTTACTTTACAAGATGTTAACTGATGGACTGGAGAGGTCTGGATTGCTTGTGGATTACTGTGATGTTTTTATCAGCTGTTTGGACTCTCATTCTGACGGCACCCATTCACTGCAGAGGATCCATTGCTAAGCAAGTGATGCAATGCTACATTTCTCCAAATCTGTTCTGATGAAGAAACAAACTCATTTACATCTCGGATGGCCTGAGGGTGAGGACATTTTCAGCAAATTTGCATTTTTGGGTGAACCATTCCTTTAACTATGAATTATTATTAACTGAGGAGTCACTTGACAAAATGAAAAATTGAAAAGGCAAAACACAAATGAGATCTCTTTATCAAATTGAAGATCGAATGCAGATTTTTCAAAGTCTCAAACTTTGCAAAAAAAATCTGATCTGATCTACAGTACACTTATTTTATGGCCCTATACTTTTACTGTACCGAATGCCAACAAATGTCTCATTTGTATATTTTATTCTTTTAAGGAGTTTTAGAGGCATCTAAGACAAAGTTGATAATTCTATGAAACATAAGTAAGTCTCCTGAGCTGCGAATGAGACACTACTTGGGAATGTAATAATTTTTACTGATCTTTTTTATTCCAATCAGATTAAAAGCACATGATTAACAGGTCCACAACATTTCAGGCTGATGTGAGAATTCAGATTAACAAAGCAGTAAAAATGAAACTCAATACCAGAGCAGTTCTTGCTCACGCACAGAGCTGCAACCACAACACACACACTCAGCATCTGACCTGAGGAGGTTTCCTTCAGACTGAGCTTCAGCTGGTTCACACACACCATACCCTACAGACCAAATGCATGTTCAAATAGAGTAAAAAGCACTCACTGTGGCTTATGTTGAGTCAGTGAGTTTCTCTCCAGCCGTCTGTATGAGGAGGTTGCAGTCAAGCTCTCTGTCTCTGTTTCTCTTGAATGTGTAGAAGCTTGCGTTTTCATTCAGACATCATCAGAAGACAAACTCCACCCTGATGTCTTCCTCCACCCCTTTGAGTCTTTCTCTTTTCCTCTCTCTGAATGTGCATTTCACAGAATCTCACATGGTCTCTATATGACATCTCAGAGGTTTTGATATCTGTTCATATTGTTTCTCATAATCAGTGCTGAACAATAAGAATACCTCACACCATTTTGTTCTCAGTCGCTTTGGTACGAAATTCAATCTTCACATCATCTAGTCACTTGTGCACATCATAAAAGCAATTTCTCATTCTTTTGAACAAATTGCAAATGCTTTTGTACGTTCATGCAGTTGATTATGTCCAATTGTCTGCTGTTTCCTACATTAAATGCTTATTATACAAATAAAATATATTATATTATACTGGTCCTCTGTTGAATACACTGTAAAAAAAAATCCGTAAAATTTACGGTAAAAAAACGGCAGCTGTGGTTGCCGGAATTTTACCGTAAAAAATACGGTAGCAACGTTTTAGGTTTTACGGTTTTAACTTAAATTTACAGTTAAATACCGTCATTTCATTAACTGATAAAATGTTATTATATACCAACCTATTGAAGTACTGAAATCTGTTTTGTACCTTTGTAATAGACTGATAACCACCAAATGCAGGTGGTGATGAGAAAGTCACATGATGAACTAAAGCCCATCACAAGCAGCTTTTAAATAATAACATATATAGAAGGTGCACAGTGTCATTCGCACAAACACTAAATACCCTAATGGTAACACACATGAAACTGAAATAATGCAATAAACATTAATTTAACAACATTAGGTGTAACACACAACCCTAATATACAAAACTGATAAGAAAAAACTAAGAAGAAACATAGTTATTTCAACAAAAAAACATCAAATTTGAAATGTAACGCAGGGAATTCTGGGAATGTCAATTTACGGTTATTCACTGTAAATTATACGGTATTTTTCACTTCCAAAAACGGTATACTACCATAAAATTAATGTCCAATACATGTAATGTCCAATACAGTTTTTCACCGTATATAGTAGGGGAATTTACCGTTAACCATTTAACAGGTTTTTACTGTAGCATTTTTACAGTATTTTACCGTTAAATACACGGTCATTTTTTACAGTGTAGGTATAGTTGTCATAATCTTTCAAGCAGCATATTTTCCGTTAATTTCTATTTTATTTATTTATTTATTTTGGTAAATGCGTTCTGAATTGATGAATTGTGCAGGTGAATCTTACTAATGACAAGGAATGTAAGATGTTAAATCAACCAGATCAAAAAGACAGAGAGGTAGAAGAAGCCAAGGATGTAGCCACATTTCCCTTGAAAATAGGGCCACTAGATGCAGCCGATTATTTGGAGAACAACTGTGTCCTCAATCATTCAAACATTTGTAGACAGCATGTAATGTAACTAAACAATGTGCACTACTGTAATATTTTATTTTAGTAGTCCAATTATATTTTACATTTTACAGTAAATATACTGTATAGAGATACACACATGTATATACATATATACACACATACAGTAATGTGTACATTTGTACTATTGATATTGATGAATTTTCAATCTGCCATCAAAACATGACTAAGCATTTTGACTTGAAGCATCTTATTCATGATCAATGACACAAGGACTGATGGCACTGATATGTTCACTGACATAAATACTTACTTTTACACTTACATTGACATAAATACTTTTGAGCAAGTTACAGGCTTTTGCAGGTAATCCATTGCGTGGTGCTGTTTGGATTAATTGTTTTGAGAAATGCACATACTGGTTTGCAAATATTAAGAATGATACAAGAAATGTACCAAAGCGACTGAGAAAAACTGTAATTCAGTTTATACAAACAAAACAGAATCCCGTATTGGCAGCTATGTTCGTTTTCAGCATTTTCTTTCATTTTTATATATTTTTTTCGGTAACACTTTACTTGAAGGGGTGTGCATAAGACTGACATGACACCTTCATAATCATGACATGACACATGTCATGAATATGAAGGAGGTTTTATGCATGTTTATGACAACTGTCATTAAGTGTCATTCACTCAGTTATGTCATTTTTAATGCAAATATTACATTATTTGACCTAACCCTACCCCTACCCTTACCCCTAACCATAGCCCATAACAAAGACATCTCAAACAATGTCATCTTTGCATTAAAAATGACATAACTGAGCGAATGACACTTAATGACAGTTGTCATAAACATGCATTAAAAACCTTCATATTCATGATATGTGTCATGTCAGTCTTATGCACACCCCTTCATGTAAAGTGTTACCTTTTTTTCTGATGAAGAAGACACAAACTTAATTAACGTTCGACTTTAAAGTTAAATAACTTTTGTTTATGATATTTTCTGTTTAATATCTCTGTTGCAAGAACAAAATATTTTAAGAATAGAAAAATGGCTTTATAAATGAATGAATAGATAGATATATAGATAGATATGAAGCCGATATGATTCCTGCACGTTATTTCATATATTTCAAGTCTTTCGTATTATTTTGTATTCATGTGATAAACAGGCCGTAATTTATGTCGTTTTTTTGTGTACATGAGCGCAGCGCAGTGGGTACACAGAAGAAGAGAAAAAAATGCGGGGGGGGGGGGGGGAAATAGACATAAAGAATAAACAGAGAATAACTCAGAATAAACGCAGAACCTAATTCATATTCATCATGCGTGATCGCGGCCCGGCGTGTTTTTGTGTCTGCCAGCAGAGGGCGCTGTTGTGAATTCAGCGCTCTTTCCAGCAGCGCGTTTGTCTTTGTACGGAGTCTTTGACTGTTGATTCCGGACATTGTGCTGCGGGTCTCCAACACACTAAACTCTCCAACACTCGTCTCAGTTCATTTCGTTTTAATCAATATTTCATCTGTTCAACAGCTCTGAAGATCTCGGAATAATGGCTTTCCAGTATCCAAACACCTATAGGGACGAATCAGTGGTGAGTGACTGAATGATAGAGAGAAAGAGGACATGAATGAATAGATGGAAGGATGAATGAGAGCAGATACAGATGAATGAATGAGTGATGAAATAAGTAAACAGATGAATGAAAGAATAAATGAAAGCATGATTTTCGCATTTTCATGTAGTTGAACTTGATGTATTAAAATAACTACAACTAAAGCTGAAAAATGCAGATACATATTAATAAAAACTCTATGGGCGTACTTGAACTAAAATGTAAATTAACGCAGAGAATACAAAAATGAGCACTAATTCTACTAACTATGGCTGCATGAGTGACAAATGGATGGATGAATAAATAAATGACTGAGTGAAATTATAAATGAATCCATGAGAGAATGAATGAATGAAAATAGAAGGATGAATAAGTAAATGGATCCATGAGAGACTGAATTAATGGATAAAAAAGAAAGAAAGAAAGAAATCAATAGAGGTCCTGGTTGTTTACCTGAGAAATTCTCAAAATATTTATTTAGCGATTGTGTGTATTAAAAGAAAGAAAGAAAGAAATAGATAAATAAATGTAATAATAGGAAAATAAAGAAATAAATGACTTGATAAAACAAAGATAGCTCATTTGTAGTAAAATTTAATCCTGAATACATTTTTTATGACTTTTTTTCCTTTATGTATTATTTTCTGTATTTTTATTCTTTTTAACTTTTATATTTATGTAATTTATTTATTTTTAAATGTATTTATTCATGCATTTATTTATTCCCACATCTATTTATTTCCAGATTTATTTATTCATTTATTTATTTTTACTTTTCCGTGTGCATCATGGAAATGAGGGAGGCGGTCCTTGCGGAGCTCCGTAACTGATTGTTTGAGAGCTCACCAGCACTCTGTGAACAGCCAGCTTATTTGGCAATGAATGTTTGTGGCTTACCCTCCTTGTGAAGGGTGTCAATGATTGTCTTCTGGACAACTGTCAGATCAGCAGTCTTCCCCATGATTGTGTAGCCTAGTGAACCAAATTGAGAGACCATTTTGAAGACTCAGGAAACCTTTGCAGGTGTTTTGAGTTGATTAGCTGATTGGCATGTCACCAAAATGTAATTTGTTGGGTTTTTGTTAAATGTGAGCCAAAATCATCACAATTAAAAGAACCAAAGACTTAAAACTACTTGAGTCTGTGTGCATTGCATTTATTTAATACACGAGTTTCACAATTTGAGTTGAATTACTGAAATAAATGAACTTTTCCATGACATTCTAATTTATTGAGATGCACCTGTATACTACATTTGTAATCTCTGAAACATGTTTGTTTGTGTTCTTGAAAGAAATTGATCATCATTAAAAAAAAACATGTAAGCGTTATTAATGCTGTCAAATGGAATAGCAAAGCAAACTGGTTTCCAAAACACACTTCCTGTCTGCCATTGGACAGAAAGTCCCGCCCCAAACCCACAGCATTGGTTGAAGCATTGTTCCAACTTCCACCTGTACTGCGATGTAATCATGTTGCTGTGGTGACCTCACCGCTCATGTGATGCATGTGTATATGTGTTATCAGGTGGATGACTATCATGGCTGTCAAGTTCCTGACCCGTACAGCTGGCTGGAGGATCCTGACAGTGAAAAAACACAGGTGATCTCCACACAACACCTTGCCACCCTCTTCTGAAAGAACATGTGACTTATGACTCTATATATTTGAGACTTGTGACTCTATATATTTGAGACTTGTGTGTTGCTCTATATGTCCGCCAGGCGTTTGTGAATGCTCAGAATCAGCTGACCCTGCCGTTCCTGGAGCAGTGTGAGATTAGAGACATCTTTAAGGATCGTATGACTGAACTCTATGACTACCCCAAATACAGCTGCCCCTTCAAACGCGGGAACAGGTGAGATGGGCATTTTGGACTACCTGTAGCTTGTTTATTGAGGATGCAAGACAACCACCTAGCAGTGCATTACAATAGTCCAGTCTAGAGGTCATGAATGCATGAACTAGCTTTTCTGCATCAGAAATAGGTAACATGTTTCGTAACTTGGCAATGTTTCTAAGATGGAAGAATGCTGTTTTTGTAACATGGGAAATATGATTTTCAAAAGACAAGTTGCTATCTAATATAACATCCAGATTTTTGACTGTAGAGGAAGTAACAGTGCATCCGTCTAGTTACAAATTGTAATCCCAGAGATTCTGTGTACTGTTTTTTGGTCCAATAAGTAATATCTCTGTCTTATCCGAATTTAATAGGAGAAAATGATTGGTCATCCAATCTTTTACATTTTTAACACACTCTGTTAGCTTAGATAATTTAGAAGTTTCATCTGGTCTTGTTGAGACATATAGTTGAGTATCATAAGCATAACAGTGGAAACTAATACTGTATTTTCTAATAATATTACCAAGTGGCAACATGTATATCGAAAATAGCAAAGGACCTAGGACAGATCCTTGTGGCACTCCATATTTTACTGGTGATAATTGAGATGACTCCCCATTTAAATGAACAAATTGGTAGCGATCGGACAGGTAGGATCTAAACCATCTTAAAGCCTGCCCTTGAATACCTGTATAGTTTTGTAATCGATCTAGGAGTATGTCATGATCT